CTCTGGGGGGGGGGCCTTGGACTCGTAGGGGCAAATTTCACCTCGTAGGGGCAAATTCCACCACACGCGAGAGGTCATTCTGGCTCCTCCAGCTCTCCTTAGGGGCTCTTTGAAAAGTTATGGCCACCACCACTGTTCTCGGCGGCAGCTGCAATGCCCGGGGGGGGGGCAAAACGTTCTCCCGCCTCCCTGAGCCTCGGGGTGGTGGCCTTGGATTCGTAGAGGCAAATTCCACTTCTTGCATGTGATGTCCGAGCCGCTCGGACATCACAGGCGAGAGGTCATTCTGGCTCTCCCAGCTCTCCTTAGGGGCTCTTTAAAAAGTTATGGCCGCCGCCGCTGTTCTCGGCAGCAGCTACGATGCCCACCAAAAACATTTTTTAATGACAAGGCCACATTTTAGTTTCGTGCTCGTTTTCCAGAGCTCCACTTTAGTGTGCTAAATCAAGATCTGGCTGCATGGCAAAGTATAACCTTTTCACTGAATACCCAGGAAAAAAGTTCAAATTCTGCTATCAGTTCATCCTGCCTTTACATTGCTATTACATCAGATTGAAACAAAGTAATCTGCAGTGGCAACATAGCCTTAATGTTTTGGATCTCATTTTTCCTGTTTGTAGTAATGAGACATGAAAATATCTCCCTATCATAGGTTTGTGGGGTACCATAAGTACTACTGTTGCCACCAAGTGTCATCTACAGGAAAAGTGTGAGGTGAATCTAGAGATTTTCCAAAAAAATTTGAGGGAAACAAAAAAAGGTTTCATTAATTCCCACCATGAGACCCACAAATATCTTAACGTAGATTATTCTTCAGGGTTTGCTATGGATGTCTCCTGCATCTCACTAGCACTAGTGGTTTGGTGTAGTGGTTGGAAAAGACCTTGGGAGACTCGTGTTCAAATCCTTGTTTGCCATGAAAGTCATTGGATTATTTTGGGCAAGCTATGCTCTTTAGGCCTAAGCTACCTGACAGGGCTGTTGTAAGAAGAAAAGAAAAGAACCATGTATATGACTCTAGAGCATCTTGGAGGACGGGTGAGATACAATGTACTAAACAGACATTGGGAGTCTGGCAAGGAAACTCTCCATAATAGGGAAAAGTTGGTAAAACTAAGGGCTGGAGTTGCCATCAAATTTTGTCTAAAGGCAGTTTTTGAAGTAAACTGTGAAGAGGCGCCCACTCAGGAGAAACATCTGAGGAATTTTTATGGAAAAAATAGAGTTTCAGTGCAACTAGCAATTTCTCAGTGGGAAATCTGCATATCTGTAATTGATACAATACAAGCACAGGGTTTGAGATACCGTACATGAAATTATACTAACTGGAAATCTAAACTAGTTGAAAGTTGCAGTTGTTTCTTCATTACAATAATGTTTCCTTTCTCCTTCTCTCCCTCCCCCCCACCCTTTGTGTTCCCCAGACTTTGTCTGCCCTGGCTAAGATCATGAAGGAATGCTGGTACCAGAGCCCCTCAGCCAGACTTACAGCTTTGAGGATTAAAAAGACACTGAAAAAGCTCAGCGACTCCTTCGACAAACCCAAACAACACTTCTAACTGCAGGCACTGGCTCTGAGACCAGGGATCAGATTTCTGACTTGTTGTCTCAGCAAAAAGTTCAAGGTCACCCTTTCTCCTTTCAGTGCAGGTCCTGCCCTTTGTCACTGGCTACAGCAAACCATGTTTGAAATCTAGCCAAGAAGACCTAGGCTAGGGCCCCCATGTCAGGGAGTGATCCTTTGCAGGAAAAAAATTACAGAACAGATGACAGCCATGTATTTTGCTTCAGGCATCTTTAATTTGTTTTCTTTAACAACAAAAAGGGAGGGGGAATACCACCCACCTCTCCCAGCACATACATTAATATAAATACCCTCCGGGTCTGTAACCTGACGCCAACCCGTCTCGCCACCAACGCCTGCAAAATGGGAGGGATCGTACTTGGAAAAAGCACAGCCGCTCTGCCCAAAGGGGTGCTTCCTTGGAAACACCAATTAAGGTCCATTCATAAGCCAGCACTTAAACTGAGCCTGTAGGATTTGTGTGCATCTCTGTACATCTACAGTGTGTGTGTGCACACTCACACGCATGCATGCATAAAGGAGAAAGCAAGAGAACAGATGTTAAGGCAAGTGCTTGCAAAAGGCAGATATGATTTATATGCACACATATTCATGTGCCAGAGATATTTGGGTTTGGTATGCATATGCTACAGCAGTGTCCAATGGAGTGAAAATATGGTCGGGTGTATGGAAGGACAGAAGTAGGCTTGTACAGGAAATGTATGTACAAGTGAGTCATTTTCGGCATGCAAAGAATCACATAGAAGGATGTGTGTTACATGTGAATGTACCCTCCCCCTTTACATAACCCACAAAATCATCCTGGGCTGTGGTGGATTCAAGGAAGCTAACTTGATTGTGAAGAGGTAAGCCATTCAGTGGGACAAGTCAGAGCTGAAAGGAATGTGCTCCATACTAAAGACTCCCCTGAAATCGCTTTTGCAAGAGACAAGTAGGGTGATTGGCAAGAGTGGTCACATTTCCTGCTTGGCTTGCCTGGTGTATCTTTGATAGCTGCTTTGTGACATGTACACATACAGGTGAGTAGTTAGGTGAAAGAGCTGCTTGCATCCATTTCTGAAGTCTTCCACTTTTTGTCATCCTTTTGAAGACTGGTTAAACTTCTGGACATTATAGGTGGGGTAGGCATGTTGGTCTGAAGCAATAGAACAAAGTCTGAGTCCAGTGGCACCTTTAAGACTAACAAAGTTTAATTTTGGTCTTAAAGGAGCCACTGGACTCAGACTTTGTTCTGTGAGCACTATGCTCTTCCTGGCCTCTCTGTTCTCCAGACAATGGAAAAAAGTGACCAGAAAAAAAATGCTTGCATGAAACAGACCTAAAAAACTGCAGTACCTATGTGGACATCTTGTGGAACCACAGTTTGTCTTCTTTCACCATGGTTAAGCAGCATAGTTTAATTCCTGAACCATGGTGAAAGATCGGCCAGGACTTGGAACCTTGGCATGTAGCAGGTTTGCAAGCAGGCTTTGCATTGCATCTGTGCCATGTAAATCACGAGTAAGGCCTTTTCTACTGCCTTCCTTGACTCTGCTAGCCATTGTTCTCTTACTTGCCAGTTTCAACCATGGCTGCCCTCTATGCTTGAGATCAGGTAGAGTTAAGGAAATAAACCATGGTTTGTTTTAATCATGATTAAGTATTGTCTGTTTGGGGCTTAAGAACATAAGAGAAGCCAGTGTTAGATCAGGCCAATGGCCCATCCAGTCCAACACTCTGTCACACAGTGGCCAAAAATACCAGGTGCCATCAGAAGGTCGACAAGTGGGGCCAGAACACTAGAAGCCCTCCCACTGTTGCCCTCCCCCAAGCACCAAGAATACAGAGCAGTCATGCTGTTATGGTCTTACTAAAATGAAATCCAAAACAATGAGGGGACACAGTATAGAATACAAGACTAACAGAATAAATACTGTGAGTATGGCATTCACTCCAATGTTTAAAAATTCAGTAAATCATAACTATTGTATTAAAACCATGCAAGCGTATTCCTCAGTTTATAACCTTTGGCCAACTGGATCAAGATAAAAGACGCTGTCATTCTTGGTTTAGCATACAATTGGCTGGGGGGGAAATTGAAATATGTGTTGGTTCCAGTTGAATTACAATGTGCTACTGATATTGACGCACTCTGAAAAAGACAATCCGCAACAAGAAAGAACTTGTCAGTGGTCTTAGTAGCACATTTAAAACTTCTTATGATAACAAGCTGAAATGGAACTATGCTGTGATAATATTTATAAATGTTACAATGGTTACCATTGATTAAGGTCTTAGCCTCTGTATAGTATATGAAGCACTAGAATTGTCATTGGATATTGGGAACTAAACAGGTTGTTTCCTTGATATACGATTCACTTTACTTCTCGCTTTTTGTATGTTGAATGTTATATTTAACATTTATATTGTTCTAAAAAGCTTATTGTGAAGGTTATAGCATTGTAAAGAATTGGAAGCGTCATTGAATGTTAGAAACAAAGCTGTTTGGCTTTTTGCCGCATGTTTCATTGGCTTCCCGCTTTTCGCATGATTAAACTTGTGTATGCATATTGTTCTAAAAGCTATTTCATGTATGATTGTGAACAATCGTTATATACTGAGGAATATGCTTGCACAGTTTTAATACAATAGTTATGATTTATCAAATTTTTGTAACATTGGAGAGAATGGCATATGCACAGTATTTATTTGGTTGGTCTTGTTATGGTATTACCTGCAGGGCAGCCCTTTTTTATGTGGCCTGAGTCTGTCTGAGGCAAACATACAGGCATGGCACCCGTAAACATCTGAACATGGGCACAGTGGTGAGAAGTCAACCTTTTTGATAGTGAGACTAGGCAAAATCAGAATTCCAAAGAAAAGACAGTTCAAACATAAAGCCCGAAAGAAGTGCAACAGTTGCAAGTCCCATGTTACACATTTGTCCAGTTACATAAAGGAAATTCTCTGTGGCAGAAGCTGCCAGGGATGTGCTGAGCAGACTCATCCTTCATGCAATTGAACACATGCATCTATGTGCAGTTTGTGAACATTATGCCCATGGATGAATACCACCATTTAATAGTGGTTTGTTTTTTTAAAAAAAAATCAGGATGGAGGGTTGCAATATTTTAAACAATTCTAACATTGAACTTGATTTTAAGAGACAAAGGGAAGATGCTAATATCAACTGTAGAAGTCAGTGGCTGTTCATTCAGCACAGTCAACACTATTATCTCCAAGGTATTAAACTTTCTGCCTTACATTTATACCTGCGTATAATATACCTGCGACAGGGCAGCTGAGTAAACCAGAGTGAAAGACATGTCATCTCATTTCACAAAGAAGACTCAGAGTTGCCTTAGAAATTGTCATTATTTTGCACAGAAATTATTTTGTATTTATTAAACTTGCACCCAAACTACACTGTTTTGCAAACTTTCTTATTTTGCATGAGTAATATTATTGGGGGAGCAAATATTTCCAGGGGAAAATGGCAAGAAAAGGGTCTCTATATGGGATCTTTGCTGAAATTACAGGATTTTGTTTGTGAAGGAAAGAATATAGGGTAGCTAGTCAAATGTTCTGTAATAGGAAGGGGGAGAAATGCAAAACAACAGTCAAATGTCCAAAAAATGGAAAATGAGAACCTTTTGAAATACAAAGCAGGAAAACCAACTGCAATCCTACATGCAGTTAGGTTGCTTAAACCCCATTGAAGACAGTCAAATAATTGTCTGCCTGCTCCCCTATGGCAAGTAATAATTACCTCCAGCAGAAAAACTATAAAGGTTTATTCCCATTTTCTTTTAGGTAACTAACATAGGGATTATTGGACAAGTAGGCTAATAACTGTTTTTGTGAGCTAGTACATTTCCCAGGTTTATTTGCCAGGGGGGATAGGAATATATCCAAAGCAAACCTATAGCTTAGATGGAATGTGAAAGACTAGGGTTCAACGGCAGAGCATATGCTTTGCATGTAGAAGGTCCTGTTTTCAATCCCTGACATTTCCAGCTAAAGCATCAGGTAGCAGGTGCTGTGGAAGACTTCAACCAGAGACTCTGAACATCACCTGCCTCTCAATCCATTCAAGCACTTTGGGGGCAGAGTGTTCAGGGCCTGCTTTGGGGGTTGGGGGAAGCAAGAGTTGACATTTTGTTCTATTAAATTTACCTGAAGGAAGAAAGTCCCAAACTTGGGCAGGTTCTTTGCCACTGTCACAAGAGCACAAGGCTAAGAACTCAGCCGCTGGAGAGTTCCATAGGCAGTGGTTTTTGCAACCAGCCCGCAGTTGACTATCAAGGAAGTGTGTCCAAAATATTATGACTGGTTCCATGTTTTATTTTCTGTTCAGCCTGGGAGGCTGTGAATTCCACGTGTCCCTAGCTGGATTCTTTATCAGGCCATGGATGAACAAATATTTGCAAATCTTGAGCAACCAATCTCTTTGATAGCTCCCAAAGTAGATGTTGGACTCAACCACAATGATAACAGCATCCTGAAAAGCCAATGGAAGCTGTTGGATGGTATTCCAAGGTGCAAAAGTTCCTGCAGACTTTCATCCCACTCTGTTTGCTCCCATAGCTGTGCGCTCAAAAGGTCTCCATCAGCACTAGAAGTCCTGCTGCATATTTTTGTTTAATCAGCAGCTTGCAGATGCGCATGTCCAATATCTTGATGTGTCCAAAATAAGCTGATAGGAAGGAAGTAAATATAGATTATTCCACATAGTGGAAAGGAACTGTTCTGGGCAGAATGTAGCTACAGGCACGTTAATGTGGAATGAATGGAAACTCTCTGGTCACCACAGCCACTGATACAGTTACAAGCAGTAGTGTGTTAAAGAACTGGGAAGTAAAATTGAAAAGTACTGGGTTCGATACATCAGGACTCAGACCACGACATAGGAGAAGATGCGTTTATTAGTACTTCACACATGGAACTGACTAACGGCCCAGCAAGGCCAACCATATACACATCCACCCAGCACACCCCCAGTCCCGTTGGAGGGTTTGAATTTCCCGCCAAAGTGGCTATTGGTGAATGCTGGGGGAACTAAGCCTTCTATTGTCTAGAGGAGCCAAGTTCCTTGCTGTAGCCGCGGACCCTTGGTGGTGGCCCGCATACATAACACTCCTCCCCCCCATAGTTCTGACCCTATCTATGTAATATAGTCCTGCAAATAGGCGGGGGCTCGGTGCTCTCTGAGGGAATGCTGGGGGGCAGGTATGGGGTCACTGGCGATGGGTTCCAGTTGATAGGCTGTGACCTGTGGCTGGGGGACCTGTTGCGGTGGCTGGAGTGCTTCTGGCTCTGTTGGTTCTAGTGGTGTTTCACTCGGCATGGCCTCCTCGATGCTCGGGGGGCCGGGCTGAACACTGGGTTCTTGTGTGTGTGTCCCGATTCCCACAGCCCACTGTGGTGGTTCTCCTGCCTCCGGGAGCTGTCGCCTCCTTAGTTGGTCGAGGTGTTTCTTGAAGAGTCTGCCGTCGTCTGTCGACACCTCGTAGGTGATCGGGCCCGTGACTTTGATAACTCAGCCCGCAATCCAGGGAGGCCTGGTTCTGTAGTTCCGGATGAATACTGGGTCCCCTTGGAAGAACCCTCTCGGAGCCTCACACCATTTGACCAACCTCCTTGAGTCCAGTGCCCGGTCTGGGTGTAGCCAATCCAACAGGGTCGTGGGGCGCCGGCCCATCAGTAATTCTGGGGGGCTGTGGCTGGTGACAGGGTTAGGTGTTGTCTTCTGGGTCAAGAGGAAGTGGGCTAGTCGGAACTCCCAGTCCCCATCTGTAATCCTGCTGAGGGCTTCCTTCGCAGTACGCACCATCCTCTCGGCCTGGCCATTGGTCGCGGGGGGAAGGGCGCGGATTGGATATGTTGTATCAGGTTCCTCTGGAGGAATTCCTGGAACTCCGCCGACGTGAAGGCTGTCCCATTGTCGGAGACTATCATGTCCAGCAGCCCGTGCGTAGCGAAGATCCGGCAGAGGGATCGGATCACAGCCTTCATCAAAGTGATAGACACGGGGCTGATCTCCAGCCACTTCGAGTAGGAGTCAACCGTCACTAAGAATAACAGTCCCTGGAATGGTCCGGAAAAATCGATATGAAGCTGG